GCCCCGGCCCCCCTGCCCCGGGAGCGGCAGGGGGACTGGCCAGTCTCCTCGGGGCTGCGGCTCAGCTCCGCAGCGGGGATGGGACGAGGCACGGCGCAGGGCAGCTCAAACACCCGGCGCTGGACCGGGGGAAAACTAGGGGGCTGCTCTCTTACCCCCCAGCTCTGGCTCTGCTGCTCCTCAGTAGGACTCACCTACGGCCCCAGCAGGGTGTCTTGCTGCTTTTTGCTGCACTAGGGCAACTCCCGCTCTGGTCCCCACGCAGAGGAAAAAGCCAGGGGCTGTTGCCCAGGCGTGCACCCCTACCTTAGCGGAGGCTGGTCCCTGCCATGCCGTGCACCCCTCCCTAGGCAAGGCTGTGCCATGCTGGATGGACACCAGGAGCAGGAAACCAAAACAGCGGGGCATCTCCTCCCGGAGCGCAGTGTGCTGCTTTCCACAGGCAGTGATGCCCCACCAGGACTCCTCTGTTAAACTGGTGCCCAAACTGACCCCACTAGCTCGCTGCAGACTTCTGGCAACACCAGGCCACTTGAGCGTGACACAGGCTTCTGCCCATCAGCATTATGTCCACACGTCTGCTAGTGCGCCAGTGGATGTGACAGACTGCGCAAAATGAGAGGTAAACTCTTCCCAGTCCCCTGCAGACTGGCCCCAACCATGCAAAGCAGAATTCTCTCCAATTTTCTCCGTCCATGTGAAGAATACATGTTATGTGCACCAGGACATGTTTGGACGTGCACCACCAGCACAAACGCATGCTGCCGGCTGTGGGCGCTCTGCTGATTAGCTGGGCAGCACTTGAATCTCTCTTGCTCAGCTTATAGGGAACACAGGCAAGTCTCTACCTTATTTTCAACAGGAGCAGAGCCAGGACCTCACTAGCCACATGCCCTCCTCCCCCCAATCGTGGCCATACCTTTGTACAAAACAGCAACTCTCCTCTTGCTAAACAGGGGCACCATGTGGTAGCCCAGAAGGCCACTTCCACCCAGCAAGTCCCATGCCTGGAGGCCACTTCAGAGCTCAGATACCGGCTGCTGGGGCCAGCATGTTTCCCTGAATACCCTGGAGTGACACACCACTTCTCTTTCCC